TACGGGGGGGGGGGCCTGGGGGGGGCGGGCCGCCGCCCCCCTCCCCCGCAGCTCAGCCCCCCGCGCCCCCCCGCAGGTGAGCTGGCTGTCCCGCGAGTGGGCCCGCCGCGCCGCGCTGCCCTCCCACGTGGTGACCATGCTGGACAACTTCCCCACCAACCTGCACCCCATGTCCCAGCTGAGCGCCGCCATCACCGCCCTCAACAGCGAGAGCAAGTTTGCTCGCGCCTACGCCGAGGGCATCCACCGCGTCAAGTACTGGGAGGTACGGGGGGGCCGGGCGCCCCGGTGCGGCGCAGGGGGGCTCAGCTGCCCCAACTCTGACCTTGGGACAGGGTTTGGGCGTGGGGGGTCAGGGGCTCACACCCCCCGGGGAGGGCAGCAGCCCCGTCTTACCCCGCCTGTCCCAGTTTGTCTACGAGGACGCTATGGACCTGATCGCCAAGCTGCCTTGCGTCGCCGCCAAGATCTACCGCAACCTGTACCGCGAGGGCAGCAGCATCGGGGCCATCGACCCCAACCTCGACTGGTCCCACAACTTCACCAACATGCTGGGCTACACCGACCCCCAGTTCATCGAGCTGATGCGGCTCTACCTCACCATCCACAGGTGTGGGGCCGGGAGGAGCAGCCGGTGCCGGAGCAGCCGGGGACGCGGCCCCGCTCCAAGCCCCAGGGTCCCGGGACGTGCCCGGGCTGCTCCGGGGGTTCACCGGGCTCACGGCGTGGGGCCATGGGCAGCCCCAGGGCAGGGCTGGGCCGTACCAGGCTGGGAACGTCATGGCCCCCCAGAATGCCCCAGGGTCCCCGCGGCTGTGGGGGCCCTCGGTGGGGCTGGGGGAGCCCTGACGCGCCCCCTCGCCCTGCAGCGACCACGAGGGGGGAAACGTGAGCGCCCACACCAGCCACCTGGTCGGCAGCGCCCTCTCCGACCCGTACCTCGCCTTCGCCGCCGCCATGAACGGGCTGGCCGGGCCCCTGCACGGCCTCGCCAACCAGGTGGGCACCTCCGCGCGTCTTGTCTGTCCGTCCATCTGTCCGTCCGTCCGTGCACCGCTGTTCTCACCCCCTCCTCCGCTTGCCGTGCCCGCAGGAGGTGCTGCTCTGGCTGACCAACCTGCAGAAGGAGCTGGGCCAGGAGGTGTCGGATGAGAAGCTGCGGGATTTCATCTGGAACACGCTCAACTCGGGCAGGGTGAGTCCGGCCCCACTCGGGGTGAGGGACCGGGGCCGTGCCAGGGCCGGGCTCTGACGCCCCGTCCTCGCAGGTGGTGCCGGGCTACGGGCATGCGGTGCTGCGGAAGACGGACCCCCGCTACAGCTGCCAGCGGGAGTTCGCCCTCAAACACCTGCCCAAGGACCCCATGTTCAAGCTGGTGGCCCAGCTCTACAAGATCGTCCCCAACGTGCTGCTGGAGCAGGGCAAGGCCAAGAACCCCTGGCCCAACGTGGACGCCCACAGCGGGGTGCTGCTGCAGGTGAGCCCGGGGTCCCGGCGCTGCCCCAGAACCGCTCCCGGGGGGCGGAGGGCCCCTCGCCGCCCCCTCCCGCGGGGCTGCCCTGCCCTGATGCCCCTCTCCCCCCGCAGTATTACGGGATGAAGGAGATGAACTACTACACGGTGCTCTTCGGGGTCTCCCGGGCCCTGGGCGTCCTCTCGCAGCTCATCTGGAGCCGGGCGCTGGGCTTCCCCCTGGAGAGACCCAAGTCCATGAGCACGAAGGGCCTCATGCAGCTCGTGGGCTACAAATCTGGGTAAAGAAGGGACAGGGACAGGGCTGTGGCTCGCTGCTCCCCAGGGAACGCTGCCGTGCCGGGCCCCGGACGGACTCGGCACTGAACCCCCCTCACTGCTACTGCCACTTATTTACTGCAAGGACTTCCTCTGTATCTTGAAAACAGTTGCCAAATGCCATAGCTAAAGGGCAAGGGAGATTAACTTCAAGATTTCTCCCTCAAGCTTTGCACAGGTCTTCTACAGGCTCTTTGGTCATACTGATCCTGGGACAGACTAACATTGTGCATTCACAGATGCAATACTACTGAGACTTGTCAACATCAGGGATACTAACCAGGTTTCTGCTAAATATTGACTTTAATGTATTCTCTTAGGTGTATGACATATTAAATGGCAAACCCTATGAGTCAGCAGTGGCTTCGGAGGACTTACTGACACAAGGTAACTTACAAAGACTTGACAACATCCCTCTAGTAACTGAGTACTGAAAGTGTACTTGCAGAAGACATTGCCCTGCACTAGCTTGTAACTGAAATGGGGAGGGAGAAGAGGTACCCTCCCACCCACTCATTCTCAGAATGAGCACGATTCTGTTCAGAGGTGGGTCACAAGGACACAAAGGAGCACACTTTCAGTGTTACAGCAAAACATGAGTAAATGCTGCGATTGATGGTCACTAAAATACTCTTTAATTTGGCTTTGTTTCTGCTTAGAAATGAACTGGTGCATGATTTGTGTAAATAATAAACTAACATATTGCTCTGTTCCCCAGGACATTTGAGAGACCTGAATGAAAGTTCCAAGATGCAGCTTTACAAACTACTGGAAGCGCCCGATGCAAACAAAAACTGGTCCACTCTAGCACAAAAGCTGGGTCTTGGCATGCTTAATAATGCCTTCAGGTTGAGCCCTTCCCCATCGAAAACTCTGCTAGATAACTATGAGGTAGGGTGGCTGTAACAAGTTACAAAGAACAGAGAGAGATGTAGAGAACATTGTCCTGCTGCACGGTGAGACAGTGCAGCCCTTCACTGTTAGCTAGCCTGGATGATGGTGAGCATGCGATGTCTTCTCTCTTAGGTTTCTGGTGGTACGGTTCAAGAGTTGATCGCTGCTTTGAGACAGATGGATCACACAGAAGCCATTGAAATCATTCAGAAAGCACTATCCATCTCGCAAAGTCCATCGCACCAGGAGGATGATACAGCAAAAGCTCTTCCATCATCATCACCACCTACCTTTGCAAACGGAGAGACAGGTAAAATTGACAGTAAAACACTAAGAGCTGTATTTAAAATATTTTTTCAATTCTCCTCCCCACCCCCCCCCCCCCCCCCCCCCTGCCGCTCCCCCCCCCCCGCAGGACCCGGCCGGCCTCCCCCGCCAGCAAACACCCACCTTCCTCCCGCTCCTCCCGGACCAGGTGTCGGGGCCCAGTTAAAAAGGAACAAAAGGAGGGGGGGAAGAGCTCCCAAGAACTAAAACAAAACTTAAAACCAAAATCAGCTACAAAACCAGGGAGTCCAGCGCTGGGACGCAGCTCCCGCGGCGTCGCGGTGGGGCCGGGGGCTCACGGCAGCCCCCGCGCTCGCAGGAGCAGCACCTCTTGCCCCCAGGGCCGGGAGGGAAGTTGAGGCAACGGCAGCAGAGATGCACTCAAATAAATATTTAGGAGGGTGGGCGCAGGGCGGGCGGCCCCGGGGCCCTGGCACAGTCTGCGGTGGCCGGGCTGCCCTCACGTCTGGTGGACCTCGTGGAACATGAGCTCCCGGGGGATGCGGGTCTCGGGACCGAAGTTCTTGGCTGCCCGGCGCTCGAAGGCTGCCACCATCTGCTTGACCACCTCGTCGAAGAAGACGGTGGCCAGCTGGGAGTGCAGCAGGGAGCGAAATTCAAAGGAGATCTGGGAAGGAGAGCGGGTGGCGTGAGCCCCGGCGGGGATGGTGGCGGGTGGGCAGGGCTCCACAGCAGGAACTGCCTCCCCCGTCCTCCCTGGGGGCTCTGCGCCTGGGGCCCGACCCGAGCAGGCTCTCACCGAGAAATCCACGGTGCTGGTGCGGGGGTAGCCGGGGATGCCGGGGCTGAAGCGCCAGTTCGTCTCCAGGTGGTTGAAGAGACGCCCGTCCGTGCAGACGGCCTGGGGAGGGGGAGCAGCCGGTCGGGGGGGCCTGCGGGGCCAGGCAGGGCCGGGCCGCCCGCCCGCCGCGCCGGGGATGTGCTCACCTTGACAAGGTGGGGGCGGACGAGGGTGACGATGGAGGTGTAGCGCTCCACCACGGGTGGGAAGCCCACCTCCAGCTGGGCCTTGACGTGGCCCGTCCGCTTGGAGACCACCACCGACTTTTTGCACCAGGGCACGAAGTTCTTGTAGTCCTCCACGTTGGAGACCACGTCGTACATCTCCTGCATGGAGTACCTGGGGGCAGAGCGGGCGTTGCAGCCGGGGCCGCGGGGCCCTCGCCGCCTGGCCAGCAGGGAAGCCGCCACACCTACCCGATGATGCGTCGCTCCGAGTACTCCTTCCGCTTGTTGGTGAGGTTGAGGAAGGACCGGCTGGGGGGGGGCCGGAGCTCCCACTCGGTGGCGCTCACTGGCCGGCCCAGCCGGCTGAGGCGGCGGACA